AGAACAATAAGGTATATTTGCTATCACCTCAGCTATCTGGGTGATCTTCTGAATGTATCTGATTATTAATGAGAGAGCCCAAGTTCTTTCATAATTTTTTATGTCCTACGAAGGTCAGGCAAAAAGTTTGAAGTACTAGGATTTCCTTCAACTTTCAAGAGTAATTTTAATATAGATATTTGAAAATTCAGAAAACAATATTATTCAATTTGAGTTTTCCTATTAATTAAATGTTTGGGAACGGGGGATGTTGGGCCCTTAAACCCTAGCCGTCAATCTTTTGTTTTTAAGTTTTGCTGTTAACTCCTAGTGCAAAATCTTTTTACTTTATTAGAAATCTTGGTCATATAGAGGATGCTTATTATCATTTTTTTTTTGTCGTTGATCTATCGATATGAAGCTGCTTGCTGTTGTCTTTTCTATTGCAGCTCATTATTGCTTGTCGAAAGGGTGGAACCAGCATAGAAGACCTAGCAGAAAAATTCCCCGACATGATTATAAAGGTTACTTTTCTTTCAATTCATCCAAGATTTAGCTGTTTTGTTTTGTTGCTATTGTTGCCAACTAATAAGCTTTCTCTGCACCTGTATTTTCCAGGTTCCAATTGATGTTTTCAAAGGAATCAGTGATGCAGATGCTGCAAAGGTTGTTGATGGTTTGGCTCCAAAAGTAGCTGACAGAAACGATTCAATTGAACAAGTGAAAAAGTTGTATAAACTTTTCTGTGAAACTGACTGCACAATGTTAGAGGTAAATCATTTTCATCATTTCCACAGGTTAAGAAGTTGTAGCAAGAATGCCATTAGGAAAAGGAACCCTATTTATATCTAATTCTAGACATTTGTCTGGGCAGATCAACCCCCTTGCAGAAACTTCTGACAACAAGCTGGTAGCTGCAGATGCAAAGCTCAATTTTGACGATAATGCTGCTTACCGCCAAAAGGAAATATTTTCTCTTCGCGATTCATCACAAGAAGATCCTCGTGAGGTAACTCCTTATGCCGTCTTTATTTGGATATCACTGAAGGCGCTGACTTTTCATCCTTGATGCAACTATATACGAGCTCCCATTTATTTTGTTTACTATGGTTAACTCCTTAGGTTGCTGCTGCAAAAGCCGATTTGAATTATATTGGCTTGGATGGAGAAATTGGTTGCATGGTAAATGGTGCTGGATTGGCAATGGCTACCATGGATATTATTAAGCTTCATGGGGGAACTCCAGCCAATTTTCTAGATGTTGGTGGAAATGCTACTGAAGGCCAGGTATGTGTGTTTTCTGGATGATGCAATGTGAAGAACAGTTGTCTAATGCTCATTTGCATGTTTGCTCTACTTTTTGTGATATTTGAACAAGAGTATTATTATATTGAAGTCTATTATTTGGCTTAATGAGTGGTAAATGTTGAAAAGATAACTTCAGAATCCACAAATGGTTGAATTTCTTTCTTGTGCTTTGGAGTAGGTTGTCGAGGCCTTCAAAATTTTGACTGCAGATGAGAAGGTGAAAGCTATTTTGGTGAACATCTTTGGCGGAATAATGAAGTGTGATGTGATAGCCAGTGGTATTGTTAATGCAGCCAAGCAGGTTAGTTTTGTGTTTTTTGTGATCACGCGTCTGTTGGTTTGTCCAACAATGTTGTCCATTTTAGGATCAATTTTTTGTGCCTGTTTTGTCCCACTTAGCCACACATCAATATTTACACCTGATCTCTGTTGCAATTAAGCTCCATGCATGATGTGCTGATTCTTGTGGGTTTGTGATTTAAGGTTCAACTGAAAGTACCTGTGATTGTTCGTCTGGAAGGAACCAACGTCGAACAAGGGAAGAGAATTCTCAAGGTAAATCTTCAACTTTGGCATCTGGGCATGAACTTTGCCTTGCCATAACAGTTGCTAATTTTGCTGTGCATAGGAAAAGTCAGTTTCAAGTAGTAAATCACCTTGTCTGGTTTTTCATGTGCAGGAAAGTGGCATGAAACTGATTACCGCTGAGGATTTAGATGACGCAGCTGAAAAGGCAGTCAAGGCCTTAGCTTAGTTGAAAGAACAAAAAAGAGAACAAAATTTGTTATAATTTTAATTTGTGTAAGCCTTTTGATTGGCTCCCTTTTTGTCTGGGATAATCTGAATGTGCAATTCTTGATTTTACAATAAAACAATGAGCTACACTTTTTTGTCAACACTTGGAGCAAGCTTGGTGGTGCTTTTTAATCATCATTCATTTATAACATTGTATGTACGCACCTCGGCTGATGCATCTGTGTTAAGAAAGCTTGTTTTGGCTATAACCTAACCTTCTGACTGATGTTTCCCTGCTGTGTGGCTGTGTTTGTGGTCGTGATTCACTGTGCTTACAGCAATAACAAATCTAGTGTAATTCAACGTGTTGAGTTCGAGTAATATGTGTGAAACTATGTTTATAATAGATCTATTAGTGGAAGAATATAAGATTTTGGGTGTTTTTAATTAAAAAAAGATACTTAAGCGGTCATTTTGTTTACTACCTAGTTATCTCGGGATTTTTATAAATTAATCTTATTGGTGAATTTTACGTGTCTTAATCTTGTGTTTAGGGAGGGGATATAAGATTTTGGGTGTTTTTAATTAAAAAAGATACTTAAGAGGTCATTTTGTTTAAGGCTTAGTTATCTCGGGATTTTATAAATTAATTTTATTGGTGAATTTTACGTGTCTTAATCTTGTGTTTAGTGAGGGGGACTACCCAACATATAGGTCATCCGTGAGTGATGAACACAGGAAAAGAAAGTCGTGTAAGGATGAGGCGGACTATGCCATCTCTTTCTATTTGCTTCCAGAGGTGCTTAAGTGGTCATTATCCGGATGAAGGGATGGACTGGGGTAGGTAAAGGATTGTGAAAGTTTAATTTTATTTAAACAAACAAATTGACACGGAGGCCGTTCTGAGAATTCATATATTTTCTTTTTTCCCTATTCAGTAAGAAATTTTAAACTAAAAATAAAATTCTGTGTAATGAACAAGGTGTTAAGGTTAAATTTTACATAAAATTCTATAAACATAATATAAAACTTTGGGGGATTTCCAAACATGTATGGAATTTACTAAACTATCAAAAAAAAAAAGGATAAAATGCATTTGAATACATTTTTATTGTTATTTTTCCTTGTTTTTGTTATGAAACGATGCTTTCACTGTTTATCGAACTCTGTGCTGCACCTTCAGATCCTGGATCCGATGCTGGTGCTGCAGCTGTACTAGAAGAAGTGCCTTTTGACTTGGACGATCGGGATCCGGGGATGGTACCGCTGGGGTCGGCTTCCTTGGACTTCTTCCGCCGTGATTTTTTGGGGATATCCGGCAGGTCTCTTGCCGGAGATTCTGAGCCAGCGGCTGAGTCTAGCGGGATCCTGCCGTGTTTGGAACCGTCAGCAGAGTCCTTCCTGTGGTGTCGCCGGGAACTCCTGGATTTCTTTGGAGAATCAGTCCCTCCGTTTTCCTTAGAAGAAGAATGACGCCTGGTTGACTTTGTTTGTTCTGGTTGATCTCCGGCGGCAGAAGAATCTGCATTTCTGGACCTTCGGTTTGAATCTGAAATGGCATTGCATTCATTTCTGGTATAATTTTTTAAAAATAGGAGCATACAATTAATGCACAGTACTTGTCCTTGATTTCTTGTTATGTTTACCTCTTTTATATTCTGAACCATCTGGCTTCGTTTATGTTGCCTCTGTTGTGAATTTAGAATACACATATAATGCATGCATTCTTTATCGGAAAAAACTTAGTAGGGATTTTCGTGTTTCAAATGAATTTTCATGTTATATGGTGAATTCACAATTCGCTGCTTTGATCTTCTTGGCTAAATATCTTAGTCCATTTCTTACATTAGAAAATGAATCATTCAGGTTTGAAAAGTGAGCAAGCAAACAAACCTTCAGAAACCCATTTAATTTCAGGATTATCTGCTGCTGGTGGAACCAAAGGTGCTGACTGAAATTGTCCAGGTCCATTGAAATCTTTCATCTATAGATATTACCATAATAACAAACATATAGCCATAATGAGGAAAAAAGAAAAGATCAATAAAAATCATCTAAGATAAAAAATAAATAATAATTTTTTACCCAGCTTGGATTATTATCTGTTGATGGTCCATCCCATCCTATATGTGCAACATGCTTTACGTCTGTGGGAAAACCAATCTGTATATCTTTTTCTTTCTCCTCATCTGCATCAACATACATATAATTAAACCTAAATGTATGTGTATGTATAGTTGCTTGACCCGGTTAATTCAATACGGAAGTATATCTATAGAAACTTGAACTTTCATTGAATTAGCCAACTAGAAAAATAAAACGTGATCCCTGTAACATAAATTAGTTTGGATTCCGCTCTATTCATTAAAATATTTTCATAATCAACCCTCCAAACCAAATCGTTTTCTTAAACTCCCACAAAAAAAATAAATGATCATTCCCTCACCAAATATTTGAGAAATGTAACGAAGGCCTTTGAGAAGGCCTTTCACCTTGGTGGCCATCTTCAACTTTCTTTTAGGTCTAGATTTGCAAACCTTTCTTCAGTAGAAAGGAAGAAGATAAATTAAACTCATAAATAAATGAGAATAGTTTTGGTATCAATCTTCCAACTTCGGACACAGAAACTCCAAAGACATAAAAATAGTTTCACCAAATGGACTCAAACCCTCAAAACTTTTAGGTTCGACTCCTCTCTAATTATCACAAAACAAAATGCTGTTAAAGCATTCCTTTCGTCCATTTAATGGCAATGAATTGCTGAACAATACTAACCAGACATATGTCATAAATTTAGGGATGGGAAATTAACTGTTGTTAATTATATTTAAGGAAACTCCTTCGCAAATAATTACATCTGCAAAGCTATTCCTATCCGCTTGTAATAATAAAGCACATAGCTAAAGTAAATAATTAATAAAATAACTTGAACGGAAATATTTTTCTTTGGGCATACAAATTGCTAGGACATCAAAAACTCTACTTAACTAACACGACCTAATATACTAATTATATAATATTCCTTGCTGAAGAATACATTCACTTAAAATTTAAATTCACAAGAGGTTATCATGAGCTATAATGAAATAAAATATTGAGTTACAATCATTAGTCTCCAGAATTACTTATTGACCTCAAACCCAGTCCCTTTCATTATAAGTTACAAACCAGTAGACGAAATAATTCATTGTCTAGTACAGCTACTCATCGTACAACAGGAAAAAGCAGGAAGTATTGTTGTTTCAAAAGTTTCTCACAGTGTCGATGGATCTGAAAAGAGTAGCAAAACTTCCTTTCAGCTTAAGATGCTTTCAGTTCATCCATTCCAACGCTGGCCTGCAATAGCAAACAACCTTTTAACTTCTGCCGTTAATATTCCTGGAATTGAAATGCAAGAAAACATGATCCTAGTGGTCCTTCAGCTATTCCTCTAGTTTCAACTAATCCTTCACCACTGAAATCTTACAAACAGCCAATTAACTTAAAAAAAGGTGTATTCGAGGTACCCAAAATACCAGTTTAATCAGTCATGCAGTAGAAGTGAAGACACATTTGACAAGCAGATCTCCAAAGAACATCTACAAATTCAAGGTGTTGGAAAGGGGACCTAGTAGTTCTTTTTTTCCTTTTGTTCTTTGGGTGGTGGTTGGGACAGAACAACTACAATAGTGTAACCCCAGAAGAAATCCAAACATCTATTTGATAGATATATTCTTTATGAGATATCTTACCAAGAACTTGTGGTTCTCTTCAAGAAGCGGTGAGAAAGTAGTACAGAATTTTTCAATGTCGCTATTTATATCACCAGTCCCACATATTACATCCATAAATTTCTTCCTGTCTGGAGCGAGCTTCATAGCCACCTGTGATTACAATCCACAGTGAAGGAGTTAAGAGAGAAAATTGGACTTCAGAAATAGCAATGCCAGATGTTTGGCTGGTTGGTCCTACCTTCAGTATAAATTTTAACATGGTAGCAAAGGCAACAAAATACACTGCAACTACCTCTCAATTAAAAAATACGAATATTGCTCAAGTTGACGACAAAAAGCATATAAAAAGATATTGAATAAGTAATACCACATGAATATGAGAGAAAAATGGGGGTGGGGATGGCAGAAAAATAACATGAAGTCTTATCCCCTATATATCAATGAACTGGAGATCAAACATTGTTTGTTTCTACAAGGTAATGGTAAAGAACCAAATTCAAACATTCTTGTCAGCAGCAGCATATCAAGTCACAGGACTTAGACTAACAGTCATGTTATAGGAGGCAAAAACGAAACTAAATGAACAGTTAACTGTCTGAGACATTATCTCAACAGAAGGAAATACTACACCAGTTAGGTAGATAATATGGGTCCTAGAAAACCAAAACAAGTCAACAAGGATTCTCTTATTGAAACATCAATAGTAGCGCACACGTTCCAGGACCAAAACTAGGAAGGATCTCTCATACTTTGCATGATGTAAGAATGGGGAAAGATGCAACTGTCCGGATAAATAACATTAAAAGCTAAATTTTCAGGGTATATGAAACAGTTACCGTAAAACTTGAACTCGCTAGCCATCCATGCCACTTTTTCAATGTCTTGCTGTAGGAATCAGAGCAAGCTTGTGACATAGCCCAGTCCTGATGCTCCAGTAAATTTCTAAACAGTGCCACCAGAAAATCCATCGCCCTAAAGACATAATGACAGAATTTTCAAATTATAGTTCAGTTGACCAGAATTCAAATGCATCATAGAGTAACATGCTTTTGGGAATTGCATGCTGCTGAGTGATTTGTATGAGTGAGATCGGGGCATGGGTTAAGACATCGCCTAGAAGATTAACGGTTACCACAAAAAAGATAAAGTAAGAAGAGATGGAGAATAATTTCCAACCTTGTCAACCAAAGAAGACCATTTGTGCAACTGGAAGAGCCTTTTGCTGTCTTTGCCTCAACCTCTTCTTGCACCATACTGTACAAATTTGTATATTTTGTTGGGTTCGACAAGTACTTGTTTTCTAACCTCTGCAGCATCAATATTTATAATAGATTTAGCAAGGAAGCATCCACAAAATTTTGAAAATCGAAAGATCAGACCGTGTTTGCTAGCTGTATGCAGCAACATAAATCAAAAGAAAACATCTGCATGGTGGTTCAAGGAACGAAGTGCCTAAGAATATCTAGCTCCATAACATAGAAAATACTCAACCAGGGTCAGAATAATTCTGTTGCCTGGCTGAATAAACTCAATTTTCTCAATATAATTACTCTATAAACTGTGATAAAGCCCATTTATTTAGATATTCTAGATTACTGGAAACAATTGCTTAACAGGGCTTTTGTGCTCATTCAGGAAAGGTAATTGGTAGAGAAGGCCAGAAGAGAATATTATCCTGTACCCACGAAATTAAATAAATGATGAATTAATTAATGGGAGAGAATGAAATGATAAATCAAATAATTAATGAGGACAAATGAGAGGAAGAAAAGGGACTTTAATAGAACAAATGTTGTGTAATTCCAAAATTTAAAGCATTATTACTGAGTGATAGAAGGTAGAATTTAAGCAATAGAAAATTAAGCAAGCAAAAACCTGAAAAAATTCAGAAAAAAGGCAAAAATGGAAGATTGACCATTATATTTCCACCAATGTCAGACTTGACCAGTGCCATGGCAGCTCCAAACTTTTCTAGATTGGGAAAAAACAAAAAGATAATCAGTTTAAAGTTAACGTGGATCCAGCTTGCTCTTGAGATGTCCAACTTTCTAAAGAGGTAAGGAACATTCCCTTAGAAGCTTTATGCAACATAAGTGAAAATAATTTGACAAATTACTAGAGTACATCCGTATGTAAGAAAGAGCCCTTTGCATAAATTTCTATTTGCAAGACTAAATAGCAACTTTTGTTGCTAGGACTCTATAAAAAATGTTGCCGCCCATGTTGGATTCTTTCAAAATACACTACTTTTGGAGTACACTCACATTTTAGAGTAAAAATGAAGTTTCAAGGCACGTGTTTGCTTCAAAATTCTGGAAAAAAACTTGTTGGCATTTTCAACCATACACCAAAAAAATGAATGTTCTGTTTTCGTAAAAGTTATTCTTTAAAATTCACATTTTTTGGCAAAAACTGAAAATCTAATCTATATTGAAACCAAACACACAGAATTTAACAATTCAGCCTCTTCTCTAAACTTCACTTCGAAAATAAAATTATTATGAATGTGTTTTAAATTAGTTTCTTTTAAAATGATGTAAGTATTAGATTATTTTTTGTCTTTTAAGTGGTATCTACCCAAGAGGATTGCTACCCACAGGACAAACTACGATATTTTTGGAGATTCCGAGCTACATAGGTTTTAAAGGTCAATATTAATCAATTTCATAACTCAATTTGATTAGGAAAATTAAGATCAACCAGCTAAAAAGAGAATAGCTAGAGTGTCTGCACCTTGAGACAGCAACTACTAAGAAGCTTAAGAGAAATTCTTGATAGAAATAAAATAACAGAATAATTTTATTGAAAAAAGTTTTTAACCACTCAAAAAGTAGTCAAAGCAAGGAGGAGACCTAGTTATAGATCCCAAACTAAAACACAAGATATAGTACCTATAATAGGTAAGATGTGTTTGCAGACATCTAAGAAAGGTGTGGTAAGCATTACTCCTTCCTCAGACTTGACATGCTTGATTCCTTCTAAAGCAGGGGCAAAGACAGTGCCTTCCATTCTTGTGCTTTACTGCAGTGCATAGCATAATAAAATTAAAATCATTTCGGAAGTACATTTAAATGACAATGAAAACCTTAATTCACTAACTTAACTCTAGTAGAAAGCTTTGCAAATAATGAAGCTCAAAGACAGAGAGACATAAAATTTGTCTTATTGGTGAAAGTAAAGATGCTTAATATCAACATATAGTCAAAAGTATCTGCAGAAGTTATTACAAACTACACACTTAGGTGTCAAGCCAACCAATCGGGAAAATGACCAATATGTTAAGGTATCTGGATTTCATATGATAAAGGCAACACTGAATTCAATGAATTGCCGTAAAGAACAACCACAATGTACAAAGAATCAAATGCTGATGATCAACTTTTTACTCAAAGTGCTAATGTATATTTTCTAAATATATTCAACGATAGATATAGAGGCCAAGGTGAAAATAGTTGATGCACATATTTATTAACAAATCAAACAAAAAAGGGCTAAGATCAGGTAGATCCCTATCATCAATTTGATTATCTATTATACTTAGCTACTATATGTTGTTGGTCAAATGCAATTGAACTTCAGCATCAGTCTATTCTTAACAGATTTAAACAAAGATATCTGACTATTCAATCCACCGTCAGACAATCATAAACTTCAAATGTACTTCGAACAAAGAATCAGATCGCTAGTTTGCTTACTATTAATAGCTTATAGAGGCGGATCCAACATCAAAAAAGCAGTGAACACAAACAAGTATGAGCCAGTAAATCTCTACACATGCATCCAATTCTTATATGCTGGATCGACCTATCTACACGCAATCAAAGTAAATTTCTAAGCAAACTATCGTCCAATTCAAGGAAAACAGTTTCTTCAGTAAAATAATCAAACTAGATCTTCAAAAAAAATTGAATGATACAGGTAAATCGAAGGAATTGAAGTATAAGATCGCGTATAATCGAGAACTGATATTTGATACTTACAAAAAGATATACCTTATCAATGTGCGCTCTCTAGATTTTTGAGCTTCCGACGAACGCTACTGCCAAGTGTGAGGAACAAATGAAGAAGCTTTTGATATTTATATACAGGCTAAGGACTGTGATCGATTCGGCGGTTACTAAACGCAACCCACGGTATCGTTTTGCCAAGTTTGGACTATGAAGTTACGAGAGTCCATTTATTTATTTTTTGAATTTTAATTAATATATCAAAACTTCTAGATTTTTAAAATAATTACATACTTGCATATACCGTAAATTATAATTTAAGTTTTTTTACGGATAATAGATCGAAAGAGTTAAACAATTTGTGAAAAGAAATTTAGGTGATTCATATAATTTAATTTAAAATTTAAATATCTATCTTAAATAAATTATTTTACAAATTAAATAGTAAAAATGAAGAAATTGGAACCAATAAAGAGGGTAGATAAGACAAGGAGAAAAGGGGAACAAAACAAAAACAACTATGAAAAAAAAATTCAAGATCAAAGCTTCTGTCAATTTTTTCTCTTTAAAAGTTTGGACTTTCAAAAAAAATATCAAGAAAATGAAATGGTTATCTACATAAAACTATTTTATAAGGTGTGATATAAACTTTCGAATAATTGGTAGTTGATTTAAATTAATGTTAGACCTAAAGAATATATGTCCATACATTATACACACAATTTGGTAATATATAAAAATTTATGAATAATTTATAAAAGTTTATATGATCGTGATCATATATGATAGAAATAATGTGTCCATTATTAAAAAACTTGTAGTGCTATATTGGGACTCGAAAATAATTTATACCAAGAACTTGATGGTCGTGACAATGTTTTAAAAGGCGGGGGCATGAGGCGAAACGTTTGATATAATGGAGCGGGGCGTAAATCTCATAAATTTACAGGACGTAATCATATATTCAATTTTATTAATAATAGATTAAGCAAAAGTAAACCTTCAATGATTTTACAAATATTTTTTAATAAATAAGCTATAATATATATAAATTATATTATGATTTTTATTTGAGACAAGTACTTATAACTAAAAATGAAGCAAAAAGTTAATTAAACCAATAATAAAAAAAATATGATTTAAATAAAAAAAGTTTTTAAAAAGAGTTAAAAACGTCCGGCCTAGTTTTTACACCCAGGACTTATGTTATTACGCTCAAGTCTTACACCTCAAATTTTAAAACTTACGTCTTATGAATCTACGTCTTTAATTTACGCTCCAAAGCGTTTTTGACACGCCTCTCTGGGACTTGTCACAAAGAACGTTTTTGAAAACATTGATTGTGACAAAATGGAGGAAATTATATCTTTGTGCATCCACCCTAAAATTATTGTATATTGTTAAAATTTGTGAACGATAAAAATTTCAATATAATTTTATACTAGATTCTTGATGATCTGTTATGACTTGCGGTAAAATTTATCTAGTCATCTAAATTTCAGACAATTCATTAAGACTTTGTGCTAAGTATTGATAAACAAGGTCCAAGTTATGATGCATAATTATATTTTTGTTCAACTTTTTTTTTTTAAATCAGGTTAATATCTAAATTGTAATTATCATTTTGTTGTTGATATTGTTTTCTATATTAATTTGTTTATAATATATTTTACTTGAGTCGACAGTTTATTCAAAATAAAATTTCTACTTTTTTAAGTCTGAAATAATCTGTATACACGCTATTTTTCCTAAACTCGTCATATGAGATGCATTAGATATCGTATTTTCACATCTTGTTGGGTAAGGTCATAATTTAAAGGGAAAATTTCATATATGGCAAACTTATTAGATTAAATAACATTATATGTGTATAGTTTACCTAATTACATAATATGGGTATAGTTAAGTTATTAAAGGTGTCTTTAATTTTGTATATAATTTTTTTTTATTATTTATACAATTCTATTTTAAAAAGTTGTTTGTAACTGAAGCATTAAATATGGTAACAATAAATCAAGATAATGCCACAATTTTAGGGAAACGT